GACGAAGGGTGAACCGTTACCCCCCGGGGGGGGATATCTAAATTCTTTTTGAGACCAGAGAACCTACGTAATGCAATCCACCTGGTGCACGACACGCGGTTCAAAAGCTGGTATGCAAGCTACGTGGTGCAGTCTACCTGGTGCAATTTACGTGGTGCCATCTACGTTGTGCAATCCACTTTGACCGTCTTGAAGCTGTCCTCTCCACTGCTCGCGCAAACATCCCACCCACCCACCCGCAACTTGGTTTGCAAAACCTCTTCAGACCGACTACGACGACACCGACGACAACGACTAGGACGACACCGACGACGTCTCCGACGACTTCGACGACGACAACGACGCCGATGCCGACGAAGACGAAGACGAATACGACGACGACGACGCCAACGAAGGCGACGACGAGGCAGGAGGAAGGACGACGACGGCGACAACGACGACAACGACGACAACGACGAGGGAGGAGGGAGGACGGCGACGACGCGAACGACGACGAAGGAGGAAGGACGGCGACGCCGACGACGACAACGACGAGGGAGGAGGGAAGACGACGACGACAACGACGACGACGACGGCGACGAAATAGGAGGGACGACGACGAGACGCCGACGACGGACGACGACGACGACATGGGAGGAGGAGGAAGGACGACCACGGCGACAACGACGACGGAAACGACCACGACGCCAAAGAGGACGACGACGACGAACACGAGAAAAGACAGAGGACGACGTAGGCGACGACGACGACGACGACGACGCGGGAGGAGGGAGGACGGCGACGACGACGACGACGACGACGACGCAAGAGCGCGCGCGCGCACGCTTTTGTGGAAAATCCGTGTTGCGAAACCCTGGGTTTTTGTAGGTTTTTGGACGCACGATTTTGCAATCCTTCCGAAACCAATGGGTTTTGAAGGTTTTTGGCATACGTCCGCGACGACGCGCGCGTCTGCACTTCGTCTTTTTTTCCCAACCATCCTGTGGTGTTGGGTCCTCGTTTTGAAGAGACGTCGCCCCGCGTTCCTTCCTTCCTTCCCGCTGCCCCCTCCCTCCTCCCATCTTCATCATCATCGTCATCATCCCCATCATCGTCATCGTCATCATCATCTGTCGTCATCATCATTATCACCACCCATGTCGGCACACCCCTCACACGTTTCGTGACCCCATAGGGAGCTCCACCGAAGGTCCCAGTGCGTGTGCCCGCATGCGTCCCGCACACTCATTTCGGCACACCCCTCACACGTTTCGTGGCCCCATAGGGAGCTCCACCGAAGGTCCCAGTGGGTGTGCCCGCATGCGTCCCGCACACCCATTTCGGCACACCCCTCACACGTTTCGTGGCCCCATAGGGAGCTCCACCGAAGGTCCCCAGTGGTGTGCCCGCATGCGTCCCGCACACCCATTTCGGCACACCCCTCACACGTTTCGTGGCCCCATAGGGAGCTCCACCGAAGGTCCCCAGTGGGTGTGCCCGCATGCGTCCCGCACACCCATTTCGGCACACCCCTCACACGTTTCGTGGCCCCATAGGGAGCTCCACCGAAGGTCCCAGTGGGTGTGCCCGCATGCGTCCCGCACACCCATTTCGGCACACCCCTCACACGTTTCGTGGCCCCATAGGGAGCTCCACCGAAGGTCCCAGTGGGTGTGCCCGCATGCGTCCCGCACACCCATTTCGGCACACCCCTCACACGTTTCGTGGCCCCATAGGGAGCTCCACCGAAGGTCCCAGTGGGTGTGCCCGCATGCGTCCCGCACACCCATTTCGGCACACCCCTCACACGTTTCGTGGCCCCATAGGGAGCTCCACCGAAGGTCCCAGTGGGTGTGCCCGCATGCGTCCCGCACACCCATTTCGGCACACCCCTCACACGTTTCGTGGCCCCATAGGGAGCTCCACCGAAGGTCCCAGTGGGTGTGCCCGCATGCGTCCCGCACACCCATTTCGGCACATCCCTCACACGTTTCGTGGCCCCATAGGGGCTCCACCGAAGGTCCCAGTGGGTGTGCCCGCATGCGTCCCGCACACACATGTCGTCCCACCCCTCACACGTTTCGTGGCCCCATAGGGAGCTCCACCGAAGGTCTCAGTGGGTGTGCCCGCATGCGTCCCGCACACCCATTCCGGCACATCCCTCACACGTTTCGTGGCCCCATAGGGAGCTCCACCGAAGGTCCCCGTGGCGCAGTCCACATGCGTCTCCTTTGCCCAGTACAGCGTTACGTGGCCCCATATGGAGCCCCACCGCAGGTCCCAGCCAGCCAGCTAGCTCTCTTTGCTCCGCGCAGCGGGCGACCCGCGCGCGTCGCTGGGACTCCTCCGGGGCGACCTGCGCGCGTCGCGGGGGCTCCGTGCTGCGTTCCGCCCAGCGCCTCGCTCGCCCGTCGTCGCTCTGCCCAGCGGCAAGAGCCTTGCCCGCTATCAGCCAGCCAGCTAGCTCTCTTCGCTCCGCGCAGTGGACGACCCGCGCGCGTCGCTGGGACCCCTCCGGGGTGACCTGCGCGCGTCGCGGGGGCTCCGCGCTGCGCTGCTCCCGCAGCCTTGGACTTTTGAGTGCGCGGGCAAAGAGGGAGTAAAGGAAGGGGAGGAAGCGGGCGCGATCCTCGCGGGGGGGCGCGCCGACATTGGCGTCGCGGCGCGCGGGCGATGCCGTCGGGGAGTCCCGGGGAAGCTCCTTGCGGCGGCCACGCCCAGCGTCACGAGTATTCAGAGGCAGTCGTTGTCAAACTATTGGCATTCATACACATTTGCACCACGCTTTGTCATATTCGCATTCATGCACGTAGACTCGCTCGCACGCAGATCATTCACAGTCAGACGCACGCGCGCAGATTCACCCGCGCTCAGTCTCCCTACGTACTCAGATCAATCGTTTTCGTTCACTTTGTGTACCACGCCACTCATGTCGGCACGCCCCTAGCACGGTTCGTTGCCTCATAGGGATCGCCACCGAAAAAATGAATCACTATTGCGGTACTCGCACCTGCATATGGTTGGGTCCCTCGTCAGGCTAATTTTTGCAGAGGGTTCTCGCAACGGCACACGCGCAAGGGCGTTCGACAGATTTCGACATGCGCGCGCGAAGCCCGTTTGGTAGCATTTTGTGAAAATCTTGAAGAACCATTGTTTTCTTAAGATTTCGCAAGAGCTCGCGCGGACGCTGTTTTAGCAAATCAGTGTTGCGGAACCTTGTGTTTTTGTATGTCTTTTGGAAACTCGATTGCGAAATCCTTCCGGCACCAAAGGTTTTTGAAGGATTTCTGCATGCGCGCGCGACGACGCGCGCGTGCGCACTTCGTCCAATTTTGTGATTCGTGAAAAAGTGCTATGGAACAAAATTGTCACCGCATTGTGTCTTTTTACAAGGGAACCCCAGGGGGGGGAACCCGGCCTGGCTGGGATGATATGATTTCATATTTCGGATGGACGAGTGTGCAGAATATATACGAAATTATAATATCCCAGGGGGAACCGTTAAGTCCGGGGGGGTAGAGTCTATATGTTTTAAAAGAAAGGAGAATCTACATGTTGCAATCTACGTCGTGCATTCCAAGTTGTGCAATAAATCTGTTGCCATCTACGTTGCGCATGGCATTTTGTGCTACATACGCTGGGCAATATATGTTTTGTCAGCTACGTGGTGAAATACACGTGGTGCAATCTATTCGGTTTAACCTATGTGTAGTGCAACCTGCGCGGTGCAGTTCACCCTGCCGAAGTTGAAGTTGTCAACACCACTTCTCGCGCAATCATTCCACGCACCCATCCGCAACTTGGTTTGCAAATCCCATGCGGCGGCGAATGCGATGACTGCTTGGCGCTTGCGGGTGCATCGTTGCGGCCGCGCTCACGCGCGCAGGCTCGCGCGCAGAGCGGCCAGCTACTGTGGCGCGACCGACGCGGCCAGGCGCTGACTGCTGGAGATGTCCCAGGGCGTCCCGCAAATCGTGCTGACGCGCAGGCACTTTAGTGCGAGTGGGCGATTTGGGCGGGCGCGGTATCATGGCGACGTCGGCAACGACAGACACGATGATGATTGCAGCGATGTTGGTGACGACGATGATGACGATGACGATGACGGCGGCCAGGCCAATGACGGCGCCGATGTTGATCACGCCTATGATGATGGTGGCCACGCGTCGGTGATGAAAGTTTTGGAAGGATTTCGACATGCGCGCGCGGCCGATGGGCGCGAGTGGCTGGAAAGGTATGATTTAGCAGGGATCGCGCCCAGCACGCGCGCAGGGGCGTTCGAATGATTCCGACACGCGCGCGTGAGATGCTCGCTTGGTCGCATGTGATGAACACGTAGCAGAGCCTCTGGCTGTCTTAAGTAATCGCAAAAGCGCGAGCGTTGACCATTTTTGAAAGGTCACGTTTCAAAACTATGTGCGTTTACACGTTCTCGGGGCATTCGATTGAAATTCTTGCGAACCCGCAGGTTCGCTTTCAGGATTCCGGCATGCGCGCGCGACGACGCGCGCGTGCACTTTGCGTCTCGTATGCTGCAAACGATTATTGGAAGTTGCCCAATCTTGATGGACGAGTGTGCGTGCATATTGTTTTTTGCAGACAATACGGGGGGGGTCGAATTTGCCCTGGTTGGGATGGTATGACCTCATAGCTCGAATAAACGATGGGGCACAATCATTTGTAAATAGCAAATTCCCTGCGGGGACCGATAGTCCCAGGTTCGATGGGGGGGGGATCCTACTTTTTGCTAGACACGAACACTTGCGTGGTGCAATGTAAGGCGGCGACGGGGCGGCGACGGCGGCCACATAGCCGCCAGACCGAAGACAAGGGCCAGTTACGTAGAACAGAAATAACAACCCCTAAGTGAGGCACTGCTTGGACCCTCCCCGCATCTTCCTGGTCATCCCGATTCTCCCCTTCACCCTCCTCGTCATCATGTTTCCCCTCGTCGCCCTCCTGGTCATGCCGGCACCCTCCTCCGTCTCTTCGTCCCCCCGGAAATGTCGACGACCTCTCAG